TGTGTGTGTGTGTGTGTGTGTGTGTGTATGGGGGGCTGGGTGGGTGGTGAAACAGGTGAGAGGAAAGGGACTCATTTTATTCCTCTGTTTTTGGTTATGCTGGAAAATTTTCCTTCATGAAAAGCTACAAGTTATAAACTAAACTACAGGCATCATGATAAATTGGGCCCAAACACTAGGGTGTACCTATCTGTAAAAGTAAGGGACATTTCTAGCTCAACTACAGTAAAATTGTCATACTTAATGATTTTTTAACAAAATTGAAGATGAGGCCAGGCATGATGGCTCACGCCTGTAATCCCAGCACTTTGGGAGGCTGAAGCGGGAGAATTGCCTGAGGTCCGGAGTTCAAGATCGGCCTGGCCAACATGGTGAAACCGCAACTCAGAAATTAGCCAGGTGTGGTGGTGGGCGTCCTCGCTACTCAATTCTAGCTACTCAAGAGGCTGTAATCCCAGCTACTCAAGAGGCTGAGGCAGGAGAATTGCTTGAACCCGGGAGGCAGAGGTTGCAGTGAGCCGAGATGGCACCACTGCACCCCAGCCTGGGCAACAGAGCGAGGGTCTGTCTCAAAACAATAAAATTAAATAAAAATGAAAAATTTAAGAGGGAGTCTTGCTGTGTGGCCCAGGTTGGTCTCAAACTCCCAGGCTCAAGTGATCCTCCTACCTCGGTCTACCAAAGTGCTGAGAATACAGGTGTGAGCCACGGTACCCAGCCCAACAATTTCTCGAAATCAGATAATAACAAGTCTGTCTTCAATTTCTCACATTTTTTTTTTTTTTAATGCCTTGGCTGGGCGTGGTGGCTCACGCCTGTAATCCCAGCACCTTGGGAGGCCGAGGCAGTTGGATCACCTGAGGTCAGGAGTTCGAGACCAGCCTGGCCAGTGTGGTGAAACCTCATCTCTACAAATACACAAAAATTAGCCAGGTGTGGTGGTGTGCACTTGTAATCCCAGCTACTCCGGAGGCTGAGGCAGGAGAATTGCTTGAACGTGGGAGGTGGAGGTTGCAGTGAGCTGAGATGGACCACTGCACTCCAGCTTGGGCGACAGAGTAAGATTGTCTAAAAGAAAAGAAAGAAAAGAAAACAAAACAAAACAAAAATGCCTTATTTGCTTTATGAGTCAGGAATCAACGTCAACGTCCTGTATGACTTTCAGGGAACTTTTTACCACTGTGCCTTTTACATTATTTGAATTTTTCCTGTGAGTATGTGTTACTTATTCAAAAATTTGTGATAAAATGATACAGTGATGATGATACAGTAATATAGTAACACTTGGTGCTTACTTGGTGCCAGGCCCTGGTCACGCTCTCTTGGTCTCTCCCTCTTTTTCACCTAAGACTTTGTGGAGTCGCGCCAACAAGCCCTGGGTCGGTAGAACGATGGTTTCCAATTTCCTGATGGGGACAGGGAGGCATGAAGCGGCAGCCATGGGCCGCAGAGCCACAGCCAGCGAGAGGCAGAGCTGGGATGCCTTGAGGTCTGGTGACTCCTGGCTCCTCTGTGCCGCCTGCCCATGCAGGTCCTGTGAGGCCGACCTCAGGTGCCCAGCTCCAGCTGAGCTCCTCCACTGGAGACCAGGGGCTGGCTGTGCACCGACGGGACAAGCGCATCTGCTACTCTAGAGCCGAAAGGTCTGACTGCAGAGCCGGCCACCTGGGTCCCCCCGGGGAGGAGAGTGAGAGGGAACGCTGCGGGCCTCTACCCCTCCCAGCCCTCCCCGAGAGGCTCGCTGGTGATCTGGGGAGCTTTGCACCTCCCCATTTAGTAACGCCGCTCTGCGCTCTGCGGGGTCACCCGGAGTGACCTCGGCACGCAGGTGTGGTGGGGGAGGTTGCAGTCCTGGCCTCAGGGTACACACACACCCCTCATTAAAGCTGGGCAGTGTGCCTCTCTCCTCCCCTCCCTCCCGCTCACCAGCCTCCCAGGGCTCCTTCTGTGACCGTTTCCTGGCTTTGTCCCCTCCTGGCCAAACGAGGGCACGCCAACAAGTCAAGTGTGTGAACAACAACAACAATAATAATTTTGTTCAACGCTCGTACCGTACTCGGTGCTGTGGCTTGTGTTTTCATCTATTATTGTCATTG